AGCTCGTGTAACTAAGCTGCGCTGCCAACTATCTCATGACCGGGACTATGTGATGTAGGTCATGGTGAAGGTAAATGCGCTGTTACATCCAGTGTTTAAGGTTCATTGAAGGTCATACAACTGACGGTGAAACATTTAGCGAACCTGGAGCTCAGCGCTAGGCAGCAATATCTCAGGGGGTTCGAACCCCCTGAACCCCCCATTGGCTCCGCCAACGCAAAAAAATATTCAATGTGGTCTTAAGTCTGATTTTAAAAGGGGGTTGGGGTGGGATCCGCCAATGAACACAGAATCTAAAACAATTATAGGCACTGTTTCGTTTTTTAATTTGTAGCATTGTGATATATCATGTTGTGCAGTGTTAGTGATGGGGAAGTATTTATTCTGTTAAGTCTCATACCAAATGAATCTTTCACCCTGATTCGTGTGAACTGGTACATCTTCATTTCAGCGACATTGATATTGATTCAGCTAGCATATTTAACCAATGATACTCTTATCTATGCTAGGAATGTTTCAGATTCTGAAAAAAAAAAAATCTACTTTACTTTGAATGAGTTATGTCCAGCGTAAACAAATAGTGTATACTTGTGAACGAAACACGACCGAATGAATGTAGCGAATGTAGAGTTCCGTGAAGGTTAGAGCTCAACCCGGAGAGCGGAAGGTCGCGGGTTCGATCACCGACCGCGTCATACCAAAAGACGTTAAAATATGGTACTTGTTGGTCCCTGCCTGGCGCTCGGCATTAATGGGTACAACAAGGACTGGTCGACTCGGAGTCAGTATAATGTGTCTGAGTGGGGTATTCATGCTTCACTGCGGCATGGTATCTCAGTGAGCTAGCACTATAAAACTAGCTTAAATCTGGGCTAGTACAAGCAGCAGCACATGCACATACACACGCATGCCCGTCGTCATATGAGCGAAATTTTCTCAAGCACGACGATAAACCTAATATCACCTCACTACCAGTACTACTAAAGCACCACTATGACTGCTATTACTTTAGAACCACTATTAAAAGTACTACCGCCAGTATTACATCAGTACTACTACTAATACGAAGGTACTACGGCAACGTTTATTTCAGGACCGTTAAAGTATTACTACCACTAGTAATTCAGTACTAACACTAAAGCACTACTGTCACCAATTACTTCAGTAACACTGTTAATACTAAAGTATTACTACAATTATGACTTCAGTACAAATACTGAAGCACAAATATCACCCTTCCTTTAGTACTGCTACTGTGGAAATATAATGGGTACATCTATGCGTGATAAATGCCGAATGTTTGTGGAGGCTATGAAAGTCAAAGCACAGTATGGAAACATGGACCAATGTAGCCTTGGTGACCTGGTAAGGCTCACCTTTATGTAGGCTGGATATAGATATGTAAGAGTGTCTCCAAATAAACATTTTAGGCCAAAGTTGTTGAATTTAAATTATAAAATTATAAGTCTTCAGGATTTTTGCTATTTATAAAATACATAGAAGCTTAAGTGTGTCACGTGTCACAAACGCATTGGGGAAGTAGGGTAGGGGTAGGGAGAAGTTCTCATCTCACGCCGGTCAAATTGGTAGACGTCGATAACGGATGTATTTGAACATCGGTACATTATGACCCTGTCTGAGTCATTCCTAATAACTTGTTTATTGAAAACAAGGTCGAGGATACGGACTGGAAGTCTAAACGACAACCAAATAAAGTTAAACACACCATGAAACACAACATATTATTCCCAAACCGCTAAGATCAGCATTGTTGACATATCTCACTTTAGAAACCAACTGAAAAATATTCTTTTTGCAGATAATGATGAAAATAATTATTGATTAAAAAATATTCTTTTCTTTAAAAGAAGCCGTCTGATGACCGTTTATGCATACATTTTCCTAATTTCACAAACTCTCATTCTCTTCTCTCACATTATACAGGAATGAATTCTGATTGGTCAGTGGTATCGGATGGCTGTGAAGATGACACTATCAACGCCAAGGGATATGTTCATCTGAAACCTATTCTTTGTGAAACCGACCGTTCGTCTTGCTCTTCCACATACTAAGAGCTCTTGAATATGGTTGCGAAATCTGTTAAACTTGAAGCCCGAGGAAGCCTCAGGCTTAGTGTATTGTTGATGTAAGACTTGACATTTACGTTATGTTACGTCAAACCCAAGTTCCGGAGCTTTGTGTGTGAAACATGACCATAAGAGCAGTGTGAACTTTGTAATTTAACATTGCAGAGTTTACTCAATTTGCTCTAAGAAGGATTGTTTGAATAGCCTTGCTGAGTACCACAATAGACTGCTAAACGTGTGCCAGTGTATGCTGAAGCCCTAAAAAAACTTCACACTTGGAGAAATGAATTATAGTGAAAATGAGTCGTACAAGGTAGTTAATATGGGCGAATACCATAATGGCCAGTTCTAACCTGTTTCAACTGTGTTGAAGCATTCTGGATGCACATTTTCATGTGCCTTGCCACCAACATGTGAGCAGAATTTGCTGGTGATAAGCCTCCTGCCATTCCTTACAGGTGTTGACTGTGAACGTGCTATTGGCATACCGCGGGATGGCCAGTCTACCGTGGCTGCTGCACGTGCCATGAGATGCAGTAGACCGGCAATTGACAACCTGAGGACACGTGTGCATCAAACGGGTAACGACATGTGATGCCCCACGGCCACGTGTGATGTCACATACGTCATTTGCGTAATCGTGTTGCGATCGCAACGTCAACCAGTAACGCACTGTTTACGGGTCGCGTAACTACGCAAAACATACGTAACCGTAATGAGGCCCATGCTGGGCACAAATGCACCTGCAGATGACTAGTAAATTTTCTGCATACGTGGTAATAAACAAGCTCCAATACAGATGGCAAGTGCCAGTGAAATCAAAGCATGACCCCATCGTGCTACTGTTGACTGGATAGTGCACCAAGCGTACCTTAATGCCTAATTCTGTTTTAGTGTACGATCATCACGTCCATAACTTTTTATCCATGCCACTAACAACACACGTTGTCCTTTATGTGTATGTTTGGGACATAAATTAACACATGTAAAGTATCTTCTTTTGCTTAGTATATACAGTCTTCAAAAAAAAGAAATAAAAAAAGAAAAGAAACGCACAGGCGGTTCAGCAGTTCATTTCGATATATTTCGGCAGCAATCGTCGTTAAGAGAATTCCTTTGTTTGAATCCCGTTATTAGTATCGTGGCTTCCCTAAATGTGTTTGTAAACGTTTCTCGTAAACGTTTATAATTTCGTGGCTTTCCTTTCATCACAAATGAAAACTATAATGAAAAGTCCATGTATAATTTTTTTCAACGTAACGCACTTGCAATGTGTCGCAACCTTGAGTACAGACCTCGACTATAAAAGGCCAAACCACATTCATCATTTTTTAGGTGCCTGGGCCACGAAGAATTTCCGACCAAACCATCAGAAATCGTCTGAGAGAATAGGGAATTCGAGCATATCGGCCAAAACTTGGACCTGTCCTGACACGACTACACCGACAACCACGTGTCCAATGGTGCAGCAGGGTACAGGCATGGAACCCGGGGAACTAGCGACGCGTTTGGTTCAGTCGCGTTTCCTCCTGCAACGACGGGATGGGAGACAACGTATCGACGTCGACACGAACGTTTTGCGCCGAACTGCGTTCGACAGGTGGACCGATTTGGTGAATAACGCGTCATGCGACCTCACCCCTCCTACTTTATAAGGGCCAGAGGGAGCTGTTTCAAAACAACGCTCGACCCCCCACAGCTCGTGTAACAGGTGCCTATCTCGCCAACGCAAACGACAACGGCCTTCCAAATCACCTGATCTGAACCCGATGGAGCATCTATGGGACGAACTTGATCGACGTGTCCGTAAACGTCACCATCGCCCTCTGAGACATGCCGAACTTGCCAACGCGTTGCAGGAGGAATGGCGAAGAATTGCGACCACTTCCAAGGCAGTGCCGAGTAGTCACGGCTGCAAGGGGTAGTGTCACCAGGTACTGTCCTGAACGCCCCCTTGTTTCCACACACATGTGTACTGAGTGAACTGAATTAATGCTGACAATGACAACAATTAAGTACGTTTAATAAATTTCCTTATTTTGGGCCGGGGCGTTTCTTTCTATCTTTTTTTTTCTTTAAGAGTTTATATTTTTGGACATAGTTACCCTTAATCTGAAGGCCTTCGCAGCTTCGTATTGTGGGTGTTTGTTTTTTCAAACTTTTGACGTACTCCAACGACTCAGCTGCTTATATACACTCCTTTGTTGCTGTTTCTCAAGAAACTTTTTTCTCGAATTTCTAATTGTCAATATAGTCGGTAGAATCTATGTTTTAAGACCAGGTTTAAGAACGGGCTCATTCATTTTACAAGCCAGCGAATACGAACATTAAGCCATTTAGAAGTTGGACGAACATGAATATTGATAGCAACTTCTTTTGATTCTTTATTCGACGTTTCACCTGATGAAGTAGCACGAATTATCCCTGAGACGTTGTATAAAGAATAAAAAGAAGCTTTTATCCATGAAACATACCATGTCTTCAGTACTCACCTGTAATGTTTATACACAATTTATGCATTAGCTTAGAGTTTGGCCAGTGTAAAGCGGGTATGCCAAAACTTGTACAGATGTGTGATATTGATGGTCGTTACTTCCATTGTATGGAAGTAATAATTATTATAAGTAACAGTTAGTGGTCGCCATTGCTACATCTTATATCACAAGGCCAGGTGTTCATTCAGCTAATTTGAATATGCTCAGTATATGGATCAAAACTCGAGAGAGATAGTATTGTCGATCAGTTTATACACTGGAATTGGTTAGGAGTAAAATATATCTAACCATGGCTTAAGAACATGACAGGATAAAATTCATTATTACACGATGCTACCATGGTGACAAATACCTACCATGTACATATTCATATAAAACATTATCAAATATATAGGTGATAAAAGTGGGGCGTTATTACCTTCAACTGTCCTGAATATTACCACAAACAGAATTGTAAAGATTCCAAAAGAAAATGCCGACATCTTGTGACAGCGTGTAATGGTGACTTCAGCACTGCTTCCTGTCCCACAGATGTGTTGACAACTCTGTCTTCTCCGTCCACGCATCCCTAAGCACACTGCCTCGACGGCATATCGACGACACGGGCTCCCACAATAGAACAGGTTGATCCAGTCCTTGGTACAACGACGTCGATGAACGTCACCACAGTCTACATATGAAATGCCTTGACGCCGGGGAGATATTGACTGCATTTCGATGCTTCTGTGAATATTGATTGTTGTCTGTGCTTGATGTTAGCAACAAGACCGGTTGGCAATGAATAATTATAAAGGTCTACACTGGATGATTGAAGTCTCCAAGGGTTTGCAAATGGAACTGTATTTACACAAAGAAACAACCTAATGCTACATAATGGAATATTTTAGACAAAGAGTTCCTTGAAACTGGTTTAATAAGCCATACATTAACACCGTCACAAAGCAGGTTGATGTTGCCTATTCTGTTTCATACAAAACACATAACGAAAGTTAGGATTCATGTTTATTTTCACCGCATTGAGGATATTGGACATTAGTATCCATTTCGGACATTGTTTTAGTCTGGTGTGGCATAGAGAAGCCATGTTGTTTTTAAGACAGCATTGTCATTATCTAAATCATGCATATTTAATCCTATTTTCTTAAAGTTTGTTCCACAACTTTCGTACAGCCATCATTTTTCGCCAGGATATGCATGATCTCTGATTCATATAAGTTTCATCGCTATTTTGCCTCCTACACCGAATGGAGTCGGGAGGTAGGGGAGACTGGATATTCCCTGGGGTTTACAATTATACTTTCCTAACGTCAGTGTCGTTAACTATTCTCACGTGGCTACAACGACGTGACTGCAAGCACTAACTCCCTCTGACGCCCACTGTGGTAATGTATGTACCACTGCATTATAAATGTGGTTTTTCTGGTGTCTATCCATACGTTCGAAACCCAAGCCGTTAGTCCTCACAGGTACCCAAACATCCTGATTGTAACGTCTATTTTGTCTGAACCAGAGCTTTGCAAATTGAGTTCTGTGAAACTACTATTACATATTCACACAATGTGCAGTTGTGTAACACATGGGCGTTCAATCATATATCGCTACATTGTGCATGTTGCTCGCCCTGCTAATCATCGACTCAGGGTGCCGTGCCTTATACCTTTAAATGATCTCACTTTACATGGGAAACTTTCAGGGAAAACTTCATTTATTGACCTATAGGGTTCGAAATGGTAAATCATACACAAAGAATTCTGCAGCAGGTGCATTGATGAAATGATGTAGGTGAATTACCTTCTTCTGAAATTTCCATATGAACTAGAAACAAACCAGGGAACCTAACTCAGCGGTTCCATCTCCAGATCTCTGAGTAAAGGTTCAGAATCAAAGGGAAGTCTCTTACGAATGTGGAAATGGTTTTATCGCATCAATTAGCGTTAGTTTCTTTTTGTTTAGAGAAAGTGTGTTTGTCTGGTGTATATTCACTCTATTATACCACTACATGTGGGTCATTCAAATAGCGGGGCGGTAGGGTAGCCTAATGGTTAAAGCGTTGGCTCGTCACGCCGAAGACGCGGGTTCGAATCCCCACATGGGTACAATGTGTGAAGCCCATTTCTGGTGTCCCCCGCCGTGATGTTGCTGGAATATTGCTAAAAGCGGCGTAAAACCAAACTCAGTCAGTCAGTCAGTCAGTCAGTCAAATAGGTCGTATTTACACTAGTATTTCCCTCTCAAGTTCATTGGAGATGAACTCGTAAATGATGAGGGTGAGAGAGAAACCAATCCAGCAAATGATCCACGGGTCGTATGTCGCGACACACTGAAAGGATAATGCCAGTTCATATGGTATGGCTTCATCTAACTATCGTAACACGTACATTATGAGCCAATGGGAAAGAGGTGAGATAATGTAACAAAAAGCACATATGACATATTTCATATTATCTTACGTGAGGGTGATTTGTGAAGAAATCAAAATGGCGCATTTGTTGAGGTTATACATCCGGGTTCATTGTTCAAGTCAGTATGTGCATGTGTAGTAAGTCATTAGCCTGTATGTGGCGGAGTGACATACATGTGTAGTATGTCCGTAGCCTGTATGTGGCGGTGTGACACATATGTGTAGTATGTCAGTAGCCTGTATGTGGCGGTGTGACACATATGTGTAGTATGTCAGTAGCCTGTATGTGGCGGAGTGACATACATGTGCAGTATATCAGTAGCCTGTATGTGGAGAAGTGACACATATGTGTAGTAAGTCAGTAGCCTGTATGTGGCGGAGTGACATACATGTGTAGTATGTCAGTAGCCTGTATGTGGAGAAGTGACATACATGTGTAGTATGTCAGTAGCCTGTATGTGGCGGTGTGACACATATGTGTAGTATGTCATTAGCCTGTATGTGGCGGAGTGACATACATGTGTAGTATATCAGTAGCCTGTATGTGGCGAAGTGACATACATGTGTAGTATGTCAGTAGCCTGTATGTGGCGGTGTGACACATATGTGTAGTATGTCAGTAGCCTGTATGTGGCGGTGTGACATACATGTGTAGTATGTCATTAGCCTGTATGTGGCGGTGTGACACATATGTGTAGTAAGTCAGTAGCCTGTATGTGGCGGTGTGACATACATGTGTAGTATGTCAGTAGCCTGTATGTGGCGGAGTGACATACATGTGTAGTATGTCATTAGCCTGTACGTGGCTGTGAGGCGGTGTATGTGGCGTGACATACATGTGTGACATATGTATGTAGTAAGTCAGTAGCCTGTATGTGGCGGTGTGACATACATGTACGTGTGTAGTAAGTCAGTAGCCTGTATGTGGCGGAGTGACATACATGTGTAGTATGTCAGTAGCCTGTACGTGGCGGAGTGACATACATGTGTAGTATGTCAGTAGCCTGTATGTGGCGGTGTGACATACATGTGTAGTATGTCAGTAGCCTGTAGCCTGTACGTGTGGCGGTGTGACATACATGTGTAGTATGTCAGTAGCCTGTACGTGGCGGAGTGACATACATGTACATGTGACATAGTATGTCAGTAGCCTGTGACACGTGGCGGAGTGACATACATGTGTAGTATGTCATTAGCCTGTACGTGGCGGACATGTGAGTCATACATGTGTGACATATGTGTAGAAAGTCAGTAGCCTGTACGTGGCGGTGTGACATACATGTGTAGTATGTCAGTAGCCTGTATGTGGCGGAGTGACATACATGTGTAGTATGTCAGTAGCCTGTATGTGGCGGTGTGACATACATGTGTAGTATGTCAGTAGCCTGTATGTGTAGGTGTGACATACGTGTGTAGGTCATCAAATGTCCAGACATTGTATTTAGCAGATCAATAGCTCGTTCACTTACAGCTTCTTCTTGTTGTTTGTATTCCTTTCAATACATTCTTCATTTATTCATGCAATCTGTTCAGAACAACATCAATCAATATTGTCTATCCCGGATGTCCACGGCTCACGAGGGCAGCAAGTGGTCATTTTTTGTTTCCTGGTTTAATGTATTTCAGCAGCCTCCTCAGACGTTGATAGTTGTTGATTGTGTCACTTTCTAGATTCCAAAAATGCCAAAACTGGTCCCCCATGGAGACCCAACTGGCGTAATGGCTACCTTGAATCTACAATATGTAGTGGCCCTTCCCGACAGAGATGGAAATGATTGGCGCACTTTTTGTTTCAATGACATTGACTCCTGTAATATTTGGGATTACACTTTCTTTGTAAAGTACAGATTCTAGTACTTTTGTTGGGTTGAGCCCCATCCGGGATTCGAACCCATACCCTCAGCGTCAACTGGTAGTCTAGACTGCGGGCTTTGTGTACCCCCCCTGATAAGTGTTAATTGGCACACGGCCGAAAGCTATGATTACACAATGCCATTTAGATAGTGGTCAAATGTACTGAAACATCTGTTATAGTTGGGATTACACTCTCTTTGTAAATGGCATTGTGTAATCATGACCTTGACTCCACGACACAGCCCAGAAACAGACGTGTTCTGAAATATACTGTATGGGGACGAGTTGGGTCCCTTTAGCAGTCCCTTTTGACTGGATTACGTGTGAAGGTTGTCAGCGCCAAACCATGTTTCATGGTTTCACCAGAGTGGTAAACGTCTGTGACACGCATGACACCGGCACTTTGCTTCTACATCAAGGTAACACGCTCTGACATTAGGGGAGTCATTGTGAAACTCAACTCACTCACGTTGACTTGTATGTGCCACGGCAATCTACCCTGCTGGTTGGGCGGTGGGGTAGCCTAGTGGTTGAAGCGTTCGCTCGTCACGCCGAAGGCCCGGGTTCGATTCCCCACATGGGTACAATGTGCGAAGCCCATTTCTGGAGTCCCCCGCCGTGATATTGCTGGAATATTGCTAGCAGCGGCATAAAACCCAAGTCACTCACTACCCTACTGGTAAAACGAGATAGATAGATAACCTGCCCTCATACAGTGTGATCTGGACTGTACTGCTGGTGTATCGCACCATTCTCAACACGTCTAACACCCACTGGACGTCATCCGTGTATTAACACTGACGGTGATCAATAAGCTTCAATCTAAAAATATTATATGCAAGCTTGCATGGTTCAGTTGGTCGATTAAAGACGACGTCATACCATATTTTAAAGACGTGTCAAGCAGTAGCAACATCCACGACAAGGATGTGAGGGTCCTAACCGATTTGAAGGCTGGTGGTTTGCAAGTGTAAACAGTCTTTTTTCCCGGGTTGCTTTGGTAGAAACAAGGCAAACATTTCATTGTGGACAATACAAACATTCGTCGTTTATTGAAACATGAACCAAAATACCATGAGCAGTATCCAACCAATTTGGATCCCTATTTACCAAATTCATTGTAAATATGACGCAGTAGCATAGTCCATGTGTCATGTTCTGGGTAATATAATGCATAAGCTGAAACAGAGGAAACAAAACCGGAAAATACCCTTTATGTCCCTAAAACCCTTCGTGTTTGAACTGTTTGAACAACACCTCACATTAACGGATTGATCTGAGAACCTGGTAAAAGTGTCAATGCAAATAATCAGTCTAGTGATATGTAACGATTCTCTCACAATACACCCAGACAATGGTTAGCAATCACCGGGATAATTCAAACTTTATTCGTTGGATGATTATGCTGTATGGTTTATTGGTGTCTCAGGCTACAGATGG